AGTGCCAAGGGATCTTATCTGCGAGAGAGCACCAGGCACAGAGACTTGCACACAGGCAAAACACCCAAATACATAAAATAAAATGCAAATTTTTTCTGAGACAACACACATTTTTGTTCTACTGATTTAAAAGCTAGTACCCCCCCACACTAAAACAGAAAAAAAAAATGCTGTGTCCATCTCCATAATTCTAATCCTCACAAAACGTAATAGACAAGATAAAGCAATGTACACACGTAAATAAATTTGTAAGTATTGAGTGATTAAGGCCACCTGAACTCCCAGGAAAACATAAAGCATGTTATCTTCACATGAAGGAAGAAAAAATAGTATTATAATATGGAAGACAACTGGCAAGCTACTGATGGTCTGGCCAGAGACCAATGAAAACATAACTTATAACTCTGCTTCAGAAAACGGCTGCACTGCAAATGTCCCAGTTACTGCTCGTCAACAAGACATATGGAGCTCTTACACTGTTAACTACCTAAAGAAAACACACAGTCTGTTACCACACACCCAGACACAATAAACCGCAAATGCACAAGAGGCCCAGCTCCTTCCACTGAGTAGACTTAGTCCTGAGGCAGGACCAGTCTTGCACCTACTTGGTATTGTTTGTACTCATTGAGACACAGCACGATACATTCCGTCCCACAGCCTCCAAGCCCCTATCCTTGCACCCCGAGCAGGGCTCGGGCAAAAGATGCTTATCCACGCCTAGTCCCTTGTGGAGAAGAAATAACTCCTCAAGTCAGATGATAAACTCATAGATCCAAGTCTGGGCTTCCTTATCCAGAGTAATTCTAAAGACCATGGTTTGACCAGTGGAGCTTTCTATCCTGGATGTGTTATTTCATCCTTTTAACGCAAATTAAAAAATCTTAGGCTTGCCATAGGAAATACACCCAACTAACTCTAAGTTCAGCCCTCTGCCAGGCTCTTCCACACTGGAACAGCCGAACTGGACGTTCTTGTCCACACTTGATGGATTTGGAATAAGCCCCATCAGTAGAGAAGTTTCTCTTTAATTACAATACTCATCATACCCAGCATTAATATGGAAGCTTATTTTTCAAATGAAATAAGCTTAATCTTATTACACGGTGATTGTAAAAACCCAGGAGACTCAACCTTGCATAAGGAACTACAGGCAACTAAAGAGATGCTCAGAGAGGGAGAAACTGGTCTTCCCTGCGAACGGCGTATCAATTGGTTACAGTCAGCGCTGAAAACACACAAGTAACATGGTACTGAAGGGACCAGCTCCCCATTTTGGCAGCCATAACAGCAGAACACGTGCTTGTCTGACCTTGCCTTGGTCACTAGGAGGTTAGGTGCCTGCCTCGTGGCAAGGAACCAATCAGAAGTTAGCTGGTGGTGCTATGTTTTACGGCTCTGGGTGTGCTTTACAGACAAGCGCACAGCAATGATGCACAGAGCATAGCAACCACTCTAGGAGGGCCTATGGGCCACAACAACCAGTTGACCAATCAACACAGAGCAAACCCTCCAAGCCTGGAGGCACACCAATCCTGAGCCTGTGCGTACGTACCCCTAGACACTCCCCTTATGCTGCCCTATAAGATCTGTATGCAGCCGCTTCGAACTGTCTTTGCTAGCCATCCGCCATGGCGAGTGGGTGAAAGAATCAAGCTAACATGGGGTTAGCTCGTTAAACAACAATAAAGCCTAGTGCAGTTTGCATCAAGCTTTCGACTCAGCCTGGTGATTGGGGTGGCCGAGGTTCTGGGCTAAGATCCTGGAAGCATGAGCTTTCCAGGGGTCTCAGAGTACAGACTGAGCAGGTTGTCTCTAAGCATTAAGAAACACAGAGACATGTATGCAACAATTAATAAGAAAAAGTGCTGATGAATTTTAAAGAAACTTTAAGGAAAGCATGGAGGCCACCCTGGTCTACAGAGCCAGTTCCAGGACAACCAGGGCTACAATACAGAAAAACACTGTCTCAAACAAACAAACAAACAAACAAACAAACAAACAATTTTTAAAATGTGGGCAGAAGGCTTTAAAGAGCTGGATGCAGAGCACATGGACATTCTTTCTAACTGGGAGCTGTACTGACGTATTCTGAAATCGTTCTAGTCAGAACACTGTCCATTTACTTTGTCGCAGTTTTAATCCTGACATGTAAAAATTTGTGGCTATAGAATACGAAGCGATTACTAATTTTTATGATCTATTTTGGGGTAGCTAACTGTTAATGAATTTCTGCCAGCGGGTTGTGGCTCACACCTGGAATCCCAGCACTTGGGAGACAGAGCAGAAGGATCTGAGTTCGAGGCTAGCCTCATCTACAGCGGGAATGTCATGACAGTCAGGGCTACACACAGAAATCCTGCTTCTAAAAACAAAAGAGAAAAAAAAAGAATTTTTTTCTTTGTATAATAAAAAGTTTCTCTTAAAAATTACTTGAAAGAGAATCCTGCCTCCTTTCTAACACAAAAGAGTCACAATGTTGAACAGATTAAGTGATTAAAGCTTTGTAGGATAAATTATCTAGTGAGGAAACAGGGTTTTAATGTTGTTCTAAAAAAGCCAAGTCTAATATGCCTAAAACATTAATCATCTTAATTCAACTAGTGTATGAATCATTAGCTTACTAATTCGCCTTAATACTAATCCTTCATAGCATTTATTTTCGATAACAAATCTATACCAAAGCAGCATTCTAGTTTTCTAATCTGCAGTTTGTTTTCTGCATTCGGAAAGATTGAACTCAGTCACGATGGTATTTTTCTAAATTTAGAAATAGAAGAACGGAGTATCACTGACTCCTTTACAGAGGTTCCTAAAAACCACACCCAGAAGACTTAGAACCACTTTTTAGAATGTCTCTCCCCATCTTGTTTCTTGGTAGACACGAAGCGACTAGGATTGACAGGTGGCCCTGGCCCTAGAGTGACTTCATAGATCCTGGCTAAGTTGCCAACTACAAGATAATGAAGATGGAAAACAAAACAAAAAACTTTAACTTTCTGTACACTCAGCAGTGACACTCCATCTCCCTAAGAGGGGGCTCTAGAAGCAGACAGATGCTAAAACAATGCCTACCTGCTCCACCAAGCAGTCCTGTGAGGAAGGACCACATCCAGATGATGCTGGCTAGTTCCCTGGAACTTTACCCTGGGACACAACGACTGCTAACAACCCTAATTTCGGCAACAAGATCCTTTTAGCCCCCTGAAATCTAGCCTGAGTGTCCTTCAGCATGAGACATATTTGCTAATGAGGTGTCCCAGGGATATGTGCAGCATGTTTCCAGGTGCCACAAGGTCCCTCAGCCAATTATGCCACTCATCCTTTCTCTCTCGGGAGAAGTTTATGTATAATCTTCCTTCTCTATTAGATCAAATAGTTCTATCCCTGGGGAGCCCTAGCCCCACTAGATCCATTCCTGAGCCTGTGCATAAAAATATTAAGGTTAATTAATGTCTTTTAACCTTCTCTCTTAAAGAATATAGTCTATTCCTACTAAAATAAGTAAATAAATAAAGTAACCATGTAATTTATTACTAGATACTATGTTTCCCCTCTACCCTAGCTGACCCAAGAAAGCATGTTCAGTGGGACTAAGACTGCATTCATCGTCCTCTCAAACTGCTTCTCCACTCACATGTATGTTGGCCTTAACTCTAATTTTAAAATGCATTCACTTGCTGGGCGGTGGTGGCACAAACCTTTAGTCCCAGCACTCCAGAGGCAGAGACAGGCAGATCTCTGTTAGTTTGAGGCCAGCCTGGTCTACAGAATGAGTTCCAGGACAGCCAGGGCTGTTACATAGAGAAACCTGTTGGGAGAATTTGTGTGGGGAACCCTGGCAGATTCCATGGCAGTAGAGGGTGTCTGAGGCGGTGCACAAACATGCCAAGCAAACAGGGCTTGAGTGAGAAATTTTATTAGAAAGGGGAAGAGGGGGTAGGAAAGAGAAAGGGGTAAAGAGACACAGAGACAGAGAGAGAACAGAAGAGAAGAGGGAGACAGGAAAACTCCTGTCTGCTGCCAGGGACGTCAGGAAAGAGAGTGAAGTGGGCGGGGTCTTTCTTTTTAAAGGGGTCCTTTATACCTTTGTGGAGACTACTTAGCCGTGGAACCCTGGGCTAACCAGGGTACTGCCCGAGTGCATTTTGCCAGGTGACAGGGGCAGGCCAGCAGAATGCCTGAATCCTTACAAACTCTATCTTGAAAAATAAAAACAAAAAATCCAACTCTGAGCATATCAATAAGGATAAGACCTCAGGACTCACAAATGCCTAGAATATAATACAAACTACAGGAAACCGTAACAAAAGAGAAATATTAACTGACAGTCACCATCTTCACACAATTACACTTGAATACAATTACATTTTCTTTCAGTCTCTCCACCAACCTCTTCCCCGTGTCTATTCGATTCTACTCTTCCACGCTCAATTCCAGGGGACTCCTTTTTTAATAATTTATTTATTTTTATTTTATGTACATTGGTGTTTTACCTGCAGGTATGTCTGAATGAGGGCATCAGATCTCCTGAAACAGGACTTACATACAGCTGTGAGCTGCCATGAGGGAGTTGGGAATTGAAGCTGGTTCCCTGGGAGAATAGCCAGTGCTCCCAACCACTGGGCCATCTCTCCAGCCCCAGGGAACTCCTTTTTGAAATTGCATTTTTTTTTTCTAAGTGGATAGCTCAAGTACCTATAAAAGAACTGATCCTCCCACAAATTAGCAAGTGTTCCTTAAAAGTTAGTCATGCCAAACTGATTTTTTTTTCCTCTTAAAAATAAGACCTGTGGCCGGGCGTTGGTGGCACACACCTTTAATCCCAGCACCCAGGAGGCAGAGGCAGG